ATTCTTCATCCCAATGGGCAGCCAAAAGACAGCAACCAAAACCGGCGCACTACAGTGCATGGTTAATGGTTGTTCAAACTGAAACTGAAACCGAGGAAGCGCCACTCACTGCCTTCTCGTGGCGGTGCTTAACGACCAAAGGGACGGGACGGAAAGCCGACATCCGGGACTACAACCCGGTCGGTGGACCACTCGTAATCCAACTAGGGAAGTTGGGCAAAAACCCTGATTCCAAACTAACCATGAGGAGCCGTAAAAACCACACACAACTTCCTGGTTGTGGCAGTGGTCACCGGCTCGAATGGGCACCTCGGACGTTTGGCCCCGTCTGAAGGGCGAATGATCCGATGAACTGGATATCGACTCCCAATTGATTGCGGTTTCCCACACCGCACCGCTGCCTTGTGGGTCAGGCATTGGCTAGCCGAAGGCTCCGGTTGCAGATTCCTCAAGAAAATTCACCTGCCTTGGCAACCTGGCAGTTTTCAGCCCACAGGCCAATCATGGAACGCTTTTCTCTTTCATAAAGATTATTGTATCATGATTTGCCCGGTACACAGTCTGTCCTCAGATAAGTGTGAAATATAATAAATAATGATTATAGGTTTTTTGGACCCGAACCGGAAAAGTAGCGGACACCTACTCTGCGTAATCGCACTGCGTACTTTTTCATGCTTCTTCACGTCACCTAGTGACCTCCCTTTGGTTTACTCCACCTGGAACTGCAAATAAAACACGGTGTGGTGGACTGCTACGAATGTGAAACCTGTCTTTTTAATTACGTGTGATGATTAGTAAACGGGGCGGAATCTATTGTCGCAAAGACCTGCCGTTCAGAGACGGAAACCTAAGCCTAAGTCTCGGGAGTTGGAGTGGTCAACTACATTTGACGTGGTGATGGCTTGTGCACCTCTCTAACCAAATGAGCTACACAGGATGGCTTTTGTCAAGCCGAAAATTTAATTTGCTTGGAAGGTCGAATGGTAGAGGTCAGACGAAATCCAGTCTCTCGGTCCTCAAAGTTGGGGTTTAACTCGAGTTAGCGTCTCAGTACGTAAAAATGGTAGAGGAGTAATCGATCCAAGTAAATGGGCCTCCACTTCACTTCACTCGTTGCCTTGCGGTTAGATTCTTGTCAGAACTAAAGGCTTTGGATGAAAGCCCCAATCATTCTCCTGCTTAGTAGCTGGACATCCTAGCAGTACCCGTCCATCAAACCCCAATGCATATGCATTCGGTTTTCAGTATTTCGCTGTACGATGTGGATGATGAAGATATATAAGGACCCAGTAAAGTTGATTTTCATTCGGTGATAAATGATTTTCCACCGTAGCACGTCTGAATAGAAGACCACTTAAATCGGCATTACTTATCGGATTCAGTCCATCCTGTCTCTACCTGGATACCCCCCATTAGGCATAGCTGAATGCTACCAGGCACGTCCCCGCGTTGTTGATAAGGAGATACCTTCACCGAAGAAGTTTAGCTGTAAATAAGTCGTGGTATACCGTAACAAATAAGCAGTCACGAACAAACAGCGCCGGCGCTACCAGAGTGTGGTGGGTACCAGACTAGATACCCAGTCCCTGTTTGAAAGCCGCATAAGCCCAATGACGATGACGTGACAAGGGTCACTGTGACTGGCCTTTGAGAACTGAAATCATTGAACAAATCACTTCAGGCGCGAGTGATTGCTTCCTGCTGCCTTGCGGTTCGCAATTGCTTGTGCAAAGGCTAGAGGTGCGCCCTCAAAATAAAAAACGTCGAGTGACCCCGGCGACGTCTCTCTTACCAAACTTCCAAGTACCTTCATGATCATGTCTTCTGCAAGCTTCCTTACCCATGCTACAGCGTCCCCGATAAGCGATGCACACCGCAGTCCTCCAGTGGTCAGGGTATTAAGAATGCGAACTGGACCTCCTCAACCTCTCCAACTTAAAAAGCATGTCTACGTGGGATGCTTGAACGTGAAAACCCTCTTGAACATTGGGAGTCAGGCAGTGACTATGCGCACGTTACACGACTACCGCGTAGATATTGCATGTTTATCCAAAGTACGATTAGCCGACTCCGGCCGCAGTAGCACCAAGGTTCCGTGTTCTGGTAGTCACCACTATTTTTACCATAGTGGCCCAGAAATTTCGAGTTAACAGGGAGTGATGTTAGCGCTGAGCAAGCGCGCCAACGCTACCCTACTCTCATGGGAACCAATATCGTCAAGGATCGCTGTAGCACGCTTCAAAGGTAACCCTACCAATCTCAATATAGTAGCAGTCTACGCCTCCACTCTACCATCCGACAGCGTAGTGAAGGACAAGTTTTAAGGCAGCCTTAAGGAGCTGGTAAATCGCGTCCCCAAGAGAGATGTACTCAACGTGGCGGGAGACTGGAATGCTCGAACTAGTGAGCAAGAACCTTCAACTAAACACAACTGGGAAACTTGGTTCAGGCCATCGCTGTGAAAACGGTGACATGTCCAACTGATTGGAACACCTCGGTTTTGCTTCCGTTCCCCAAGAAGGGCGACAAGACACTATGCGAGAATTATTGGGGCACCAGTCTGCTAGATGTGGCTGCAAAAGCGTTTGCCCAGCTTCTGCATAATCGAGTTGCTACAGCGAGGCATGCACGTACGCGGCGAAACCAAGGAGGCTTCCAACCTGGCAGAGGATGTATCGATCAGATTTTCATCCTGAGGCAAATTCTGGAACACTGATACAGGTTTCAGCACCCCACTGTTACATGCTTCATTGACTTTTACGTTGCATTCGATTTAGTTGACCGCGAGTTTCTGTGGAAGATAATGCCTGCAGATAGCATCCCTGCAAAGTTGGTGAATGTAGTGAGATCGCATCACACCCAAACCAAAGCCCGTATCCGTGCCTACGGGGAAGAGTCCCATTTCTTTGATCTGATGTCAGGAGGAAGACAACGATACCTGCTACCGCTAGCGTTGTTCAACTTCGTCGTTAATTGGATTCTGCGTCGAGCAGTGGAAGGTTACCAAGGTGTCCAAGTTTCCGCGGATTGCTGGATTATTGACCTCGAATTCGCCGATGACGTGATAGTGCTTGGAGAGGACTTGACCGCCTTGCAAACAGCTCTCAACCGTATCAAAAGATTTTGCATGAGATCGGCCTTGAGATTGATTCTAACACAACCAAGATGTTCGCTGCTCCACCTGATCAAGCGGAACATTCTCTGCAACTAGATGGTCGGCCAATAGAAATCGTATCAGACTTCAAGTACCTTGGGTCAGCCAATGGACAAGCCAGAGATGCTGTAAAGCGGCGCATCGACACGGCCCGAACAGCGTTTCTGCAGCTCCGAACCACCCTATGGCGCCGGAACGAGATCAGCCTCAAAACCAAGCTCAGGGTGTTTGCCACAGCAGTTCGACCAGTCCTACTATACGGCTGCGAAACCTGGCCTCTGAGAGCTGAAGACATCCGACGATTGGAGGTCTTCGATCACTAGTGTCTTCGATTCATCCTGAAAGTAAACTGGCGGGACAGGGTGTCAAACTCGAACCTCAGAAATCGGTGCCATGTTGCCCGTCTCTCAACGCCCATACAACGCCGCCGACTGGGCCATGTTCTCCGCAGACCCAACGACACTTTTACACTTTTATTGTCTTGGTTCCGATACCGTGTCCTGGCTGGTGCCGCCGACAAGACACTGTATTCCTAGACGTCCATTAACTTGGCCTTC